TAGACAGACGCTACTAACCCGCTAATGCCATGTCGACCGACTATGCCTATCCGATTGGGCACAAACTTCCCGTATCCCCACCGCGCCCGTTCCCGTGTAACGAGGAAAGGCCAAGGCCACGTGTATGTGAGTGGGACATACGAGAAGCCATCGTAAAGATCAGAGGTGATATTATTTCCCTCCCAAAACACGGTGTTTTACGTTCGTGGGTGCTAGATTTGTGATTGCCTATACTCATTTCCCGCCTTATTCTTTGTTATTGCCATGGTTGTTAACCGGACTTCCGGACGGGGATCCAGATGGTCCGGTCTGGATGTCAGTTTGGGGGGTCCGTTTGGGCCCCATTTCAAGAAATTTCGGAATTTTTTTGGGGGTCCCCAAGCGACTTTCCACTGCCTGGTGGATCCCCAAAAATTGTTTGTGCAGTTTTTGGTGGACCGTTGGGCCAACTAGACCGGCCCTGAAGGGCCTGTGCTTGCAATCCTGGGTGAGCGTCAGCGGGCCAAGGAGAACTGGTTATGTGTGTGTGTATGTGTGTGTGTGTGTGTGTGTGTGTGTGTGTGTGTGTGTGTGTGTGTATGTGTGTGTGCGTTCTTATGTGTGTATGAGCACACGCATCTGTGTGTGTGTGCGTGTGTGTGCGACACTGTGTGCGTATCTGAGTGTGTTCAAGGTAAGTAGGATAATACAACTACAGCGGCGTCTTTCTGTTTTTTTTTTTTTCCTTTTTATCCGGGCATCCGGACCTGTTCATTTACAACCAGACCGTCTGGGTCCGTATGTCCGGATCGGTGTCCGGATTAATCCAGACACAGAGCAGGGCCTGGTGTCGTAGATGTCAGGGTCCTGGGCAACCATGGTTATTACCCTTCAACGAGTTGATCGTCATCCCGTGGGCGACAGTAACACCCCGTTGGCCTAATACTCTCTGCAGCGATTGTTGCCGCAGTGAGCATTACTGAGCACGGTGGTTCCACTACCGAACACGTGGCGAGGACGAGTTCAAAGAAAGAGCAACTAGGCTGCGACCCTCCACGTTAGATTTTGGGCTTTGTAGTGACGGACGACGGGACGTAAATTCGAAAATAAGATCCCATGTGCGTACCTCCGCCTTTTCGTTCGAAAAGATGACGAGTAGCCTGTATGGAGGTTCGAAGATACTTTTTGGATTAGATAGACCTTTGAATACTATAGTCGTTCATTCCATTTCCCTTGGGAACATAGGGGAGATTCATGTTCAGGCTGTTCTGTCAGGGTCTCCACACTCAATTTTCCAAAAATCCTAGGCACCCCCTATCTCGTTGTTTTTCATGGACTTTTTCCACATTTTAATCACTCCGACCGGAAGACAGCACAAGGCGTGAGGTTGAACATCACATGGGCTGCTGAACTGCCGTCAAGACGGTGGTTCTAATTAGCGGAGGCAGCGAGGGGAGAGGTGGGATGGTGGGAGGAGTAAGAGGTGGGGGAGACTGGGGAGGGCGAAGAAACATCAATAACCATCATCCTCATCCTCATCATCATCATCATCATCATCATCATCATCATCATCATCATCAACTTTTCAACTCCTATTTCCTTGCTTTTTTCTATACTTGAAGTTGTCAAAATAAGGTTGCTAACGTGGAGGGTAGGATAGATTTAGCGGGGAGAGCTCTTTTCCGCATTGGAAACACAAGGTAGGAAGTGTTTGCCTATAGGGAGTAAGGGCGTGTGACGCCCAACGTCACGCCCAACGCGACTTCCTGACCGGAGTGGGATGTGGGCCTGGAAGTGCGAAAAGGGGTTTGTCAAGGATTTTTAGGAAAGCGGGGGTGGAGTCCCAGGTCAGAACTGAGATCTCCTGTGGCAAAGTTTCAGGGACATAGGTGCAAGAGGGCTAAGGGGGCGAGTTACTTCCGGTCTGATGGCGATCATGGTCGTGCAGTATAAGGCAGATGGCATGCCCGGTGCATTCAAGGCCGTCCGATCCGTCTGTTTTGGTGGCGGCGGTTCGGGGAGAGGCCCGCCCGAGATGGTTGTAATTCGGATGAGTCAAACCTTCGGATGCAGACACGTAGCGTTTGTCGTCGTGCGTTCTGGTTAGGCCACCTAGTTTTAGGGGCTCGTCGGTTGCCGCGCCGCCGACAATTTCCGCAAGGAGTGCGGGGCCAATACGCGGCGATGGAATTCCACGGAACCACCGTGAGTTGGTGATACAGGAGGAGGAGACGGAAGGGAGGGAAATTGGTAGTGATAACGACGAAGCCAGGGGATATGAAATATTGCATGTTGTCCGTAGTGGGAAAATCGGGGCACCTCGGATCGCTGGTTGTAGCCCAGTGAAACTCCCTGGGGCACAATCGATTCTCGGTTAGGCAGGGGAATTCGGGGTATCTTTGCCTAATACATTCTCTCACCCAAGGGTCGAAGTACTCCGAGTACCAGGAGCTGGGCACCTTGTCATTGCGGGGTAGTGGAATTCTTTCGCACATACCTAACCAGCAAGGGGATTTTTCCGATGCGATATCGAAAATTCCTATCCGTTTAGGTACGTGGGGGAAGGAAAGTTTCCGCCTACTCGGTACCGGAGATGTCAAGTTCGCTAATGCTCGCGAATCGACGCGCGTGGATGCGTGTATCAGATCGCGCTTACACGTATCCCCGTGAGGTATTCGCTGGCCTATAGGACGATGAAAGCCCAATTCCTTATGTAAAA